TGGTACCATTCCAAGGTCTTGAAATAAGTGATTAAAAAAAATGGCATATGCTTAAAAATCTTGCTTTCTCTATTAGGGTTTTTTGTTTGGTTGCTTGTTTATATTTGTAATTTTCTAAAAAGCAAAACCAAGCAAAACAGGCTTTCATCCCCTTTCTTGCACCAGTGGTAGCATGCAGTATATAGTCTAGTACCTCGTTTTTTTCATTTTCCAAAAGAATCCAGCACTTTCCCCTTTCAGCTTAGAATGGTCTGCACTGTTTTGACCACTGCATAGTATTCCAGAGTGACTGTATACTATTCAGCCTGTTTTGTATTGGCTGGATACTGGGATGCTTTCCACTGTTCACACATAACGCTGCAATGACTGGTCTGTGCATGTGCCGTTTCTTACTGGTGTAGGAGCGTATGAGATGCCAGAATTTGATAGCTGTGATTTTGTAGATCATTGGCAGAATCTCTTCCATCTGCAGTACAGAGGTTTCCCTGTTTTCCTGCAGTACGGTAGAGTTTTGCCTTTAATTTTTTTATTTGTATATCCTCAGTTCATAGATCCATTAATTGTTGAATTAAATAGTTTACACATCAATGGAACCCAACCAACACCTGTGTCATTGTGCACTTCTAAAATGAACAGTGCCCCAGAGACAACCTTCTTTGGAGAGAGGCAAGAATGACCTCCCACCGGACTTCACCAGGTGCAGGTCAAGTTTCAGTTGGTCCCAATTAACTGAGGCTGATGGCTAGTCATCTCAGCCTCCATTTTCTCTCCTCATTGCTGTGGTGGCTTCCAAACTTTATAAACAGCATGTAACTATATAATAACTCACACTAACCCTTGCAATTTCCATTTGAAAAGTTGTTTTTGAGGCTTTTCTTACCATTGCACAGCATGAAATCAAGCTGCACAAAAAAATTTTAGTGGTGAATAATTCCAAGTGTAAAGGAAAAAGATATTGTCGGTCTGGATAGGTAAAAGGAAGCTTCAGGATTAGAAGAAATGTGTGCATTTTATCATTTTTAGGAGCTGTTGTTTTTAGCTTTGTCTTAAAAAAGAGAAACACCACTATTAATATTTTCAGAAGAGCTCTTCAGCCATTGTTTGCTGGTATGATAGGGTCTTCTCAAGTTGAGATACCTAAATTAGGAAACTTGTAGTGATGGGGAGGTGGTGCTGAGTTGGCGTAAATACGACCTAAAAGAACTTACACTGACCTTGGAGAAAATGTTGACCATTCCTTTTGTGTTAGAAAGGTTTGTGTCTCAAGAGGAATTTAATGGGAATCTCAGCAGCAGACATTTTGTTTAAAATCCTACTTTATGCGTCCCAGAGCCTCCTCACAACGTTGACAATTTGAAGTTGGAGTATTTGTCCCTGCCTGCAAGGGTGATTTTTTTTCTGGCTTACTACTGCAGTTGAGGTGGCATCAGACTTGGCTGTGATTTAGTCTCTTGACTTTCACTTACAAAGGACAGGTCAGAATCAGAACTATTGGCATCTGGACTGTCACTCTTAAGAGCCAGGAGATTACAATGCTGGGTTAGGAAATTGGAAACAATTTGAAGTAATTTGAGATTTTTGAACTGTAAAGTGATCATAATTATATGATGGGAATATAATGCCCATGCTTAAAGTCACCTGGATCATGATGTGACCACTTTGCCCATTTTATTTTTTTCTGGTCGTCTCTTCCCGAGTGAGCTTCAGTAGGTGTGTGTAAGGAATCTGTCCACCTCATCTGTGTTGTGAAATCTATCAGCAGAGTTGTTCATGAAACTCCTTTTTCCTTTTCATATCTTGGTATCCACAGTGACCACCTCTTTTCCATTCCTGACATTGGTGACTTGTGCATTCTCCTTTTCCTGATCCGTTTGGCTCTGGGTTTATCCACCTGGATTATTCAGCTCAAGAAACCAAGTTTTAGTTTCATTGATTTTCTCTATTGTTTTTCCTGTTTTCTATTTAGTTCATCCCTTCTCTTTATCATTTCCTTTTTTCTGCATAATTTGGATACTTGCTGTTTTTCTAATTTCTTAAGGTGGAATCTTAGGTCATTGATTTTGAAATTTTTGAACGAATTTTTGTGTCTATGTTCAAGAGGGATATTGGTCTCTGGTTTCCTTATAATGTCTTTGGTTTTGGTATCAGGGTAATACTGGTCTCAAAGAATGAGTTCGGAAGTGTTCTTTCTTCTGTTTTCTGGAAGAGTTCTACAGGTCATTGATTTTAGACCTTTATAACTTTTCTGATAGAAGTGTTTTTTACACTATCTTTCCTTCTAAGTACTGTTTTAGCTCCATTCCACAAATTTTGGTATATCATGTTTTCATTTTTATTCCATTCAAAATACTTTCTAATTCTCCTTGTTATTAGTTTCCAAATATTTGGGGATTTTTCAGCTATCTTTGTGTTACTGATTTCTAATTTAGTTCCAACATTCAGAAAAAATATTTGTATTATTTTAATTTATTTGTTAATTAAGACCTTTATTAACAGGTGCTTGAAGGTTGTTGAGGTTTTTGAAAATACTGAGTTGCAAACTTTTATTATAAATTAAAAATGAGGTTCTTAAAAACTCAGCCAGATTTGAAGCAATTTCAAAACTGTTCAAGATGAATTGAGAAAAAGCAGGCTTTAAAAAACAAAACAAAGCATGTTTGTCATTAACAAAAAGATAAGTCTTTAGGTACAAATAATAAAAGCTGCATGCTGCATAGATACTGTAGATAATTCTGGTTATCTGGTCAGTAGGTAAAGAGCAGGCACTTGAGGTCTTGAATGCCAAACTTGTGTTCTTTTCTTTGCTGGCATTTCATATTCATGTCTCCTTCTCAGATGAGTAAACTGGATGATGGTAGAGATGGTAGGTCAGCATTGACTCAGCCTGCCCTGCTCAGTCTGCAGTGCGCAGGATGGCTCAGCTGATTTTGTCTTTGCCATCTTGTGCTTTGGAGTTTTCTTGGCATTTGTGTCAGAAATAGAGGTTGTAGCAGTGCTCACGTTGAGGGGGATGCTTACCTTAGCTCTCACCTCATTGATGTTCCTTGTCTTTATGGCCACCTCCCTAGGCTGTCTTTGGCAAGGAGGGCCCCTGCGGAACTGTGGTCTACAACCCAGTACAGATTCTGGCCCTTGGCCTTGTTCTCTGCACCTGGTTGTCAGTCTCTGCCACCCCTTCTCCCTGCACAGGAGGGTTGGAATACTGTGGTGGTCACCCATGGGGGTCCTCATGTAGTGAGGTGGGCACCGTGGCCTGTGGGAGGGAGCTGGCTCCTTCTCCACTCTCACTATTGCTGGTAATGGTGTGTACGACCCTGTGGTGTAGCTGGCCCTCTGGTCTGTCATGGTCACAGGTGACTGTATTTTCTGCAGGGCCTATCACACTTGCTGTGTCTGCGTCCTTTCTCCCTCACTGACATCAGATGGCAGAGCCTCTCCCTCCCCTGCAGTGGTGTGCAGTTTGATTTAGGTCATTTTTATATCAAACATATCTCTCCTTCCTATGCTCATTTTTCCTCCACCTTCCTGAGCATGTGGATATACAGCATTCATCTTAATGTCCTCGACTACCATGGCAGGTCCCCCCTATCCATATGGGATGTGTCCCAAGACCCCCAGTGGGTGTTGGAAACTGAGGATAGTCCTGACCATAGATATACACCATGTTTTCTCATATATTCACAGATCTTTGATAAAGTTTAATTTATAAATTACCACAGTAAGAGATTAACAACAATGACTAATAATAGAACAGTTGTAGCAATATGCTGTAGTGAAAGTCCCATGTGTGTGGTCTCTCTCAAAATATCTTTTTGTACTGAACTCACCCTTCTTCTCGTGCTGTTGTGAGATGATAAAATGCCTGCGTGATGATATGAAGTGAGGTGGGACGTACTGTCAGGCTGTTGTTGACCTCAGGACATCAGGAGGATCTGCTTCCGCACTGTGGCTGAGTGTGGGCGATGAACTGAAGCTGCAGAAAAGGAGCTGGATGTGGACACCACTGTGGCCTAGCATCTGAGTCATTTCAGGACCTACTTTTATGGATCGCTTCTTCTCTTCATAAGGACATATTTTCTGGCATTTTTTTTGTGTGTGTGTGTGTGGAACACCTGGTAAATTTACATTGAATACCAGTTTTATGTTGTTGGGTGCTAGATTTTTTTGGTATTCCTTTACCTGTTTTTAGACATTTTTTTCTGGGATGTTAATAAAAGACCTAGAAACGGTTTGGTCCTTTTGAGGCCTGCCTTTAAGCTTTGTTAGGTGAGTTCAGAGCAGTCTTCCGTGTAGGTGTCATTTGGCTCTGTGAGCTGGGCCTCCCCGCCATGGTGGGTGTGGGCTCAGGGGTCCCTCACACACGTGCTGAGCGGTGCTCCGCTGTGGACACAGGTGGGCCTCCCTGCTGATCAAGCTCCTTCTGTGCAGCTGTCGCCCCTGCAGTGTGGGCCTCATGGCCCCCTGAACACTGAGTTCTCTCTTCTCAGCTTGGGGCGATGCCTGGACTTGTTTCTCCTGCCTCTGCTGTGGCCGGCAGCCCCCCGGCATCTTCTAGGAGAGGAATAGGCTTATTTTGTTTCTCTGCTCCGAGGAGTCACTGTTTTGTGCTGCCTGCAGTCCAGCAATGACAACCGTTATTTCCAGTATTTTGTCTGATTTTCTAAGCCATTGCTTAAACAGGGTGGTAAATCCACCTCTAGGTGGCAGCAAAATTGATGGACTGCTTATTTTACGTTAATTGTTCATGTTACTCCCTGATTGTGTGGTGGCAGGTTTATAAGGGCTCTGTCCCTATTTATAGTTTAAGTGTATCTCCATGTGGCATAGGTAGGTGTCCACATATAAAATGGGCATTGGAAGCTCAGGGATGTAGTGTCTGAGGACCTTAAGACACCAAAATATTTACAAATATTAATTTATTACATCAGGTCTCATGTGCCTACCATATAATGACAATTGCCTTGAAGGGAGGGGTCTCACATTTATGCTCTGGTTCCCAGCGCGAGTGCATCTCTATCCACGTGGGGCAGGCAGGCGTCCAGATCGGCAATGCCTGCTGGGAGCTGTACTGCCTTGAACACGGAATTCAGCCCGATGGCCAGATGCCAAGTGACAAAACCATCGGCGGAGGGGATGACTCCTTCAACACGTTCTTCAGCGAGACTGGGGCTGGCAAGCACGTGCCAAGAGCGGTGTTTGTGGACCTGGAGCCCACCGTGGTCGGTAGGTACTCGGGCGGCTTTCCGGGGAGGGTGGAAGAGCCTCTCTAGAGCCCCCATCCCGCCGTGCGCTCCGTGAGCCCCTCTGCAGGAAGGTTGGATGTGCAAGTGTTCGCCCACGGCCGTGTCAGGTGAGAAACCGAAAGGCTGGTGCTTGAAATGTGGGATGGAGGCTCCTAATTTAGGAAAACCCAATGGACAGGAAAGATGGGCTGGCGACATACACTGGTGCTGCCCCAGCCCCAGGCAGGGGGTCGTGTAGACCCCACCTGTGAGGAGCAGCACGTGCTGGGCAGAATCCATGCCTCTCGGTGAGGGAACAACAGGCCTTAAGGCCGCACAGCACATGTGTCCTTCTTGCAGATGAAGTGCGCACGGGGACCTACAGGCAGCTCTTCCACCCAGAGCAGCTGATCACGGGCAAGGAGGACGCAGCCAATAACTACGCCCGAGGCCATTACACCATCGGCAAGGAGATCGTGGACCTGGTCCTGGACCGGATCCGCAAGCTGGTAAGGAGCGCAGGGAAGGCTTCCTGTGGACGGTGACCTGGGCAGGAGGGTAGGCGGGTTGCACCTGGAGGTCACTTTGGCTAAACCCCAGTGTGGCCGCGGTGCACCCGTACGTCTGCAGTGTCTGCTTTGCTTGGCCTCTAAGCATAATGCACCTTCACCAGGGACGGTTCACACCCGCCTATCTTGCTGAGGAAAAGAAAAGTGGCCGTGGCATGGTGGTGGGGGCGTGGCTCCTGCGGGCGCTGGCTCACGGTCTGTGCTTTCTCTCAGGCGGACCTGTGCACGGGGCTGCAGGGCTTCCTCATCTTCCACAGCTTCGGGGGCGGCACCGGCTCTGGCTTTGCGTCCCTGCTCATGGAGCGGCTCTCGGTGGATTACGGCAAGAAGTCCAAGCTGGAATTTGCCATTTACCCAGCCCCGCAGGTGTCCACGGCCGTGGTGGAGCCCTACAACTCCATCCTGACCACCCACACGACCCTGGAACACTCGGACTGTGCCTTCATGGTGGACAACGAGGCCATCTACGACATATGCCGGCGCAACCTGGATATCGAGCGGCCCACGTACACCAACCTCAACCGTCTGGTTGGGCAGATCGTGTCCTCCATCACGGCCTCCCTGCGATTTGACGGGGCCTTGAACGTGGACCTGACGGAATTCCAGACCAACCTGGTCCCGTACCCCCGCATTCACTTCCCCCTGGCCACCTACGCACCAGTCATCTCAGCTGAGAAGGCCTACCACGAGCAGCTGTCCGTGGCCGAGATCACCAATGCCTGCTTTGAGCCGGCCAACCAGATGGTCAAGTGTGACCCTCGCCACGGCAAGTACATGGCCTGCTGCATGTTGTACAGGGGGGACGTGGTCCCGAAAGACGTCAACGCGGCCATCGCCACCATCAAGACCAAGCGCACCATCCAGTTTGTGGATTGGTGCCCGACTGGGTTTAAGGTAGGGCTGGGGACACCGTGTGGTTTACCTGTTAGCCAGGACAGGCCCTGCGCGGAACGGTCCCCTTGTTCCAGGGTGGCTGGGCTCTTAGTCATAAATTAGTGAACAGTGATAATTTATTCAGTGGTGTCTTTTGAGCTTCCTTCCTGAGTCATCACACTCTAAATCTATGTTAAGGGTGTTTTTTTTTTAATAGAACAGGAAGTTTCATGAAGAATTTTTGTTCTCATTTTTGGGTGGTAGAATTAGTGTGAGAAATGTGGGTTTGACTTAGAAATGTAGGAATTTTCAGGGCATTTAGGTATTATGGATATTTGAATAGAGAGGTATTACTGTACTGAATCCCACTTCATTCTATAGATATGTAGAAGTTAAATCCAACTTAAATGTACTGTATTGTTTGATTTAACGGAAGCAGCAACATCTTTATTTTCTCGTATTGACCTAGAAGTTCTGGCCTGATTTTGCCTCCAACATGCAGCTGGCACGGTCCATTAGATACAGGACAGAACCCTCCTGGCTGTGTAGCTTGGTCTGGTGCTTGGTTACTGAGCCCTGCTGTGCTTTCCTCTGGGAGCGGCACGTCCTCAGTCTCAGGCAGGATCGGACCCCTGCCGCTTCCGGCGGGCTTGTGGTGGCGGGGCCCTCACCCAGGGCAGCCTGCTTGGGTTCTCCTCTAGTCCAGGTCTGGCGGCAGAGCAGCCGCCTTGTTCTGTACATAAAGCTTTATGTGCACACAGCCACACCCACTCATTGGAGTATTGTGGCCACTTTTGCCCTAAGAGACAAGATTGAGTAGCTGTACCACTGTCTGTGGGGCTGCCCGGCCGGAAGTGCGCACTGTCTTGCCCTTACGGATGTTTGCTGACCCTGGCTGTAGTTGACCCGGTGTACTGCTCCCACAACCTCTGCCACGTTCGTTCCCTGGTTCTGAAACTTGGTCCCAGCCTGGAATGTTGACTCTTCCTCCTTCGCACACGTGGTCCACCTTGCATTGCCGGGGCAGCGGTGGGGCCAGGACCTCTGACATCATAGCTGCTGCCCTGCTGGGCACAGGCCGGCCCATCTGGCAGTGCAGCAGCAGGCAAGGCCCCCTCCGTGTGCAGCCACAGCTGTGGATCTGGGCAGGTGGGGGGTCGGTATGCCAGCTGCAGAGGTCAGCCTGCCTGTGGGGAGAATAGCACGTGAGGGACCTGAAGCAGTGTCCCTTTGCAGGAGGACGATAGTGCTGTCACTCGAGCACCTATCACATGTCATAGTTGCTGGAACACAGCCCTTCAGGCAACTTGGGGCTGACTCTGGGCTCCTCTTTCCATTTTCCTTGCCTGGCAACCAGCATCCTGCCCTTCTGGCTCCTTGCCGGGCACAAAGAAGGTGTACCCTCTGCATCTTGTTTCCATGAGAGCAGCCACCATTTCTGGGCATGACAGAGGGTTGAGTGCTTTTTTTCTTCTCTTGCAGGTGGGCATCAACTACCAGCCCCCCACCGTCGTCCCTGGCGGGGACCTGGCCAAGGTGCAGCGGGCCGTGTGCATGCTGAGCAACACCACGGCCATCGCTGAGGCCTGGGCCCGCCTGGACCACAAGTTCGACCTCATGTACGCAAAGCGAGCCTTTGTGCACTGGTACGTGGGGGAAGGCATGGAGGAAGGCGAGTTCTCCGAGGCCCGGGAGGACCTGGCCGCCCTGGAGAAGGATTACGAGGAGGTGGGCCTGGATTCCATGGAAGTAGAGGCTGAAGAGGGGGAGGAGTACTGAATGGGCGCAGCTGGCCAGTATCCCGTTCCTGCTGCCCAGCCACCCCTCAGCACTGTTGGCTTCACGCTATTCACAAGTAAAGCTGTGCAGTGCACCTGTCTGTCGTGGTCCTTGGGGGCGGGAGGGGGGCTGCTGCTAATGTGACGTGCCCCTTGGGGGAATGGTTTTTCCACATTGAAGTTTCAAGCATCCATGTACTAAAATCCAGGAATGCTGTTAGGTTTTTCATTTGAATTTGCCATCTTTCAGGCTTCTGCGTTGACGGGACGTGCTGACTTAGGTATAAAGTCTTGTAACGAGTTTGAAAATCTGAGGCTCGTGGGGTGGGATCTCCAGGGCTGTGGTCAGGTGTGTCAGCTCAGGACACTGGGGAGGGAAAGCAGTTCTAAGGGATGCGCCATGGCATCCGGGACCCACGGAGGCTGAGGAGCCCCAGGCCACGCAGCCCATCCTACACCTCACTGTTTCCACCCCTGCTTAAATCCTGCAGCCACTGCGCCTGGGCACCCTGGGCCCTATGTGAAAATGTCACACCTTCCTAAGCAAAATGTGTTTGTAAAAGACCTAGTGATTCAGATACTTTCTCAGACGGTCCAGGAGGGCGGAGTCACTGGTCAAGTCACTGGGTTAGTCCAGCTGGCCAGGCCCAGCACAGAGCTGACTGCAGTCTTAGGGCCTCAATGTGTTCAAAAGGAGAGAGAAAACCCTTCGGATAGAAAAAAACGGACTCCCAGTTTTTCAAGGAGCTTTATTTGTAACTGGAGGAAACGACACATGTCTGCCAGGAGGCCTGCTGGGTCAGGTGCTGCTCCGGGTGGGGCTCTTCCCTGGCCCACCCGCCTTGGGCAGCCTGGTGGCACTGGGTTGCCGCGGCAGCCTCTGGCTGGGTCCTTCCCGGCCGCCGCGTTCCGCCAGCGCTGCCCCTCCGCCGAGAGCCGAGCTGCCTTTGCTCCTCCCTGAGCACACAGAACACAACGGTTAGGAAGGGGGGCAAAGTCGACATCACGCGCCATGTTCCTGCTCCTTCAGCAGCATGTACGCCGGTGCATTTCTGTCACAGCCCTTTCAGCCCTGAGGCTGGGGCCTGCCTGGAGATGCACGTCCAAGAGACGTCCTGGGCAGAGGGCAGGAGGCCCTGGGGGTGGGGTGGGGCTCGCCCCGGGATGGAAGCAGCGCCGGGCAATGGGAACAGTCCTTGAGGCCGCTTCAGGGGCAGGTAAGCCTGCTGCGGACACCGCCCCACAGAGTGAACTTGGTGGGCCATGACGGCTGACAGCGCGGGCCTGCTCGTCCTGGCCACCCCTGTAGGCCAGCCACATCCGAACCGCTTAGACCGAAGGAGCAGGAACACACCGGTCATCGAGAGCGGCAGTCGGGCGGCGGGATCGGACCTCGGAGGCTGTCACACATTTCCCAGCCTGCCCCAGTGCTGTGCGGCGCTCTCGCCCCTTGCTCTTGGATTCAGCTCCCAGATCCCATCCCTGGGCTCCTGCTGAGGCCCGACTGCTTGGGACGTGTCCCGACCACCAGGTGACCACGCTCGTTTGGAGCCCCCTGGGTCACGTACCCCTTGATCGGTAATTTGCTCACTCTTGTGAAGACAGGAAGAGCAACCACGCTTGGGCCAGAGCTTTATTTTAAAGGAGGGGCTTCCCTGGACTCGGTGTTGACAGTGCTAAGACCGAGAGGGCCCCGTGGGGGACAGGCTTGCCCACTGGGTCGCAGTGCCTCCCGCTGGGCCCGCTTCGGCCTGCCTCGGCCTCGGCCTGCTGGGGTCTGCCCTGAGGGCTCTGGCCGGCGTACATGCCCTTTTGATCCCCAGCCTTGTTCCCGGTTTAGTCCAGCGGCCTGCAGTGGGCACTTGTGGTTCCTGGATAAGAGACTCCGTGAGGCTTCTCAGGGCCTGTTCCATCCTTTGTTTCCCCACTTGTCATCTTGAACAAGCAGAGGCACCTGCATTGTGACCTTGCAGGCCCGGCCCGTCCAGGTGTCACTCCCTTTCCACGCCCTCTAACACACCTGAATTCTTCCCCGGGGGTCTTACAGGGTAGACTGGCCCTTCTCAAGAGAATTCCTGGAAGTCCTTCCTCTAAACAGAGGCCCTTTGCTGCCTGATTGGGTGGGGAGGATACAGCAGAGCCACACTTGTAACAGACAGCTCAGCCTTTGACCCGCCCCGCCTCTGGGCTTCACACGCGTGCTCGTGTACATGTGATACGGCCAAGATTCAGTGACAGGCTACCAAGAGCCCGGGTGGCGGTGGCAGGGGGACCGGGAGCATGAGCCAGGGTGACCGGGCCGCCCTGCCTGTGGTGACTCACAGGACAGAATGCAGAGAACTGTCACCACGCACTTCCTTTTACAAATGCCATACAGTTGGCCCTTAAGCAACAAGAGTTTGAAGTGCACAGGTCCACCCACTATTTTTTTCAATATTGGGAAGTTTTTTGGAGATATGTGACAATCTGAAAAAACCTTATTTAAAAAATACAGCATATAATATATATAACATACAAAATATGTGTTCAGTGACTATGTTATCGGTAAGGCTTCTGGGCAACATTGGGTATTAGTAGTTAAGGTTTTGGGGAGTCAAAAGCTGTATGTGGAGTTTTGACTGCAACCCATCGGGATGGGGGTTCAGCGCCCAACCCGAACGTTGTTCAAGAGTCAGCTGTATTCTGGTCCCTGCTAACTGATGTGGACCAGGATGCCAGCCCCTATGGGTGCATGGGCTCCCCCAGCCACAGCACCGCCTATCATGCTAGTAGTGCCCTCTCTGAAGCCACGCCCCTCTCTAGGCCAGGTGGGCAGAATTAGGTCTGTAGCATGCGGCCTAACCCTGGGCACCCAGGAGCCCGTGAACTCGGCCAGGGGCCTCTCCTGAAGGACTGGACGCACAGCTAGCACAGCTCACCCCCAGCAAGTGGCAGGGCGGGTCTCAGATGTGGGCCTGACTTTGAAGCCAGTTTTTCCTGAGCCTGACAGTTATCTTTCCTCTTCCCTTCAGTACAATGACCAGAGCTTTCTGGAAACTCAAGGATGAGAGGAAAGTAGAAAAGAGCAAATAACGTTCATCTTTAAATCTGATGAGGCTGATAAACCCTGGAAATGAGATACCAGTGTAACTTTGAGTAACAGAGGCATTAAGAAAGCCGCCCAACAGTGAAAAGTAAATTTACCCAGCTCTGCGATTCCCAAAACCCCTGGGGAATCATGTGCTCTTGGGGTTATTGGGAAGCCCCTCTTCATTTTATGCAGAGATGGGGAGATGGTGGAGACCGCCACTGGAGGCCTGAGATGGGACTGCAGCCCCTGGCAGTGGGAGATCTGCTTTGTTAAGCCTGGCTCAGCCACTCCCTCCCCAGGGGCCCCAGCAGGTCCCTTCCCTTGTGGTGCAGTTACCAGGGTCAGATGGAATGGAGGGTGGGGGCTGAGCCAAGGGTGACTGTGGGCTGGGGTGGGAGCGGGGGACAGGGATGGGGGGGAACATGCTCCCAGGCCTGGTTCCTGAGGGGCCCTCTTGGGCATCAGACAACAATTACTGAATGTTGACAACAATCTGGCTGATGGTGTTTAGAAGCTGGTGCTTGTAGTCACTTGGTGTCCAGTGACCCTCCAAAGAAGCAAAACCCCCACCTGAGCTCCCCGTGACTCAGGGCCCCTGCAGCTGGGGAGCCGGCCAGACCTGGGGGGACCCACCCTGCCATTTACTTGGGAGTGGCCATGCGGTCACGATTTTCCATCCGCTGCAAGCTCTGCTGGCAGAGCCGGTGGGCAGTGAGGATTTATAGAAAGCCCAGGTGTGAGTTGCTGCTCCAGTCCCTTCCTGTGGCCCCTCAAAGTGGCCTCTCCCACACGGTGGAACATGGTGAAACGGGCTGGCTGTGAATGGGCACCGAATGCATCTTGTGTGAGAGCCACAAGAGGAAGAGGAAACCCTGTGGCCCCGCTCTGGGGGCACACTGCAGCTGGCACCCCCGTTATCAAGACCAGCTGACAGGTCTGTGTTTATCAGTCAACCTGCTGCCTGCTCAGGCTGGGCACACGGTAGTCAATGCTCCTGTAACACACACACGAACACAAAGACATGCAGCCTAGATGTGCATGGGCACTTTAACCGCTAGCTTAGCCTATGCTGTTCAGGTGTTCTCCCACTGGACGTGCCTGGGGACCCTCTACATGTGCACAGCCCTGCTGTGGTGCTTCGGGGAAGTGTCGTGAATGGTCGGAGCAGGGCTGTCCAGCAGGGGTATGATGGAAACCACGTGCGTGATTCAAAGTTTTCTTGTAATCACATTCAAGTGAAAAGAAACAGGGAATTCCTATTTTTTAAGTAACCCACAGTGTCCAGTGTGTCTTCATGTCAACATATAATTCATGTACAATTATTTGTGAGGTGTGACGGTCTCTTTCGGTGCTAGTTCTTTGGCACCCGGGCCTCGGGTGTGAGCTCACTCACACTTGCAGCATGTGGCGGCCCCCGTGGTGCCGGGGCCCGGGGCTCTGCCCCGGGCAGCCCAGCTCCGGGAGAGGCCTGCGGTCGATGTGCACGCAGCATCTGGCGACTTCTGGAGGGACACCTTCTTAAAATGTAGTTTCCCTAAACTTCCTCACTTGTCCTCTCTCTCAGCGGCCACACCCTCAGTGACAAGCATCACTCCTCTGTGCCTTCAGGACCTTCATTTCTCCCTTTTCTGCCCAGAAAAGGCAGCAGTGAGTGAGCTTGCTGATGTCCCACAGGCTCCCTGGATGGCCAGGGGCCAGGATGCAGATGAGCTGGTGTGCGGCCGTGGTGTAGAGTCCAGGCCCGAGCCCCAGCACACCCAACCCGGGACACGGAGAGCCGGCAAGCCCCGCCACCCCACTCCTGCCCTCGGCCTGGGCTGCCACAGCCCCCGACCGGTCACTCCGACAGCTCTCCCCGTTTTCTCCGCCCCAGATCCTGCCATTGCCGAGGTGGTGGGAAGGCCCGTGTGGAGAGACGTGTGACATGCAGCCTCAGGACCCGTCTTGTCTGACGGCCTCTGCCTCTTGGCCGCAGCACATTGCTGGTACAGCGCCTCGGCTGCCCCTCTCCCCACCACACCTCCACTGGCATCTCCCTGGGCCTTATGTTCTCACATCCTGGCCCTCGCTGCCCAGCTCGGTATGACCTCAGGCCTGAGCACTCGAGGAGAAGACGCTCCTGTGGGGCCCGGTGCCCCAAGGCTCTCAGTGCCCAGCTCCTGGCAGTACCAAGCACACCCTCGGCTCTCCGCCCTCCTCCCTCCCATCAGTGGTCTGGCCATGGCTGTGTAGTTCTGCCTCCCCTCCCCTCCCTGGGCTCCCCTTGCCACCCCCGTCTCGCAGGGCTGCAGGGCCATGTGGCTCTGAGCCTGACCACTCCTTGTCTTGGCAGCGTGGACCGCACGGGGCCCCAGGCATGCCCACTTTGATGCACCTCTGTGCCCTGAGCGCCGAGCAGCGGGCAGGCGGCGACGCCCCTTGAGGAGGGCTCTGCTCTTGGTCTCTGCCTCCCTCTGGAAACCTGTCCCTCGATTGCTCAGCTCAGCCCTGTAGCCCACCCACTCCTATTTGACCTGCACCTTGGCTCAGGCTCCAGGTGGCACCTAGAATACTGAGTGGGTGACACGGGGAGGGGAAGGAAGGAGGGCATGGCCCAACGACCTGTGGGACCTCAGGCCCTCGCACACTCTTGGCTCTGGGCCCCTGAGCTCACCACACCAGGCATCACCTGGAAGGCACCCCCAGCTCAGGCACCTCCAGCCCAGGAAGCAGGCAAGAAGAGTGTCGGTTCGCACTCCAGGCTGTCTGGGTGGCTGACAGCATCTAAGGTGCCAAGATGTTTCTCATATCAAAGGCTTCACTCCCCACAGCATAGTCAAAAGGCTCTCCTGTCCCTCGGCCTGTCATCCTCTGGGGCAAGGGCACCTCTACAGCACACAGGTCTCACACCCCAGATTTAGCCTGGGGAGGCTGGGGCGCATTGGCCCCGTTGTAAAAGTACTGCAAGTTGCCTCTGATACTGAGCTTTATAATCATGTCCCTGGCCTCTAAGCTGTATGGCAGGAATGGCCCACAGGGTCCTGCCCTTGCAGCTAAAAGCTGCTTTGGCTTTCTGGGGCCACAGCAGTTTCCACAGAAATGACAGCGAGCACCAACCCCCAGAGATAAACCAATAAACGCAACCTGCAAAAGGAGAGAACAGGCAGCAAGAGAACCGCAGGGAAGCGGGGGCCCCTGGAGAGAGAGGCGAGTGCGTGGCAGCTGGGCCGTGGCGCAGAACCGGAGAGGCCGCAGGCCGTGGGGCCGAGGAAAAGGAGGGCCTTGCAGGGGGGCTACAGTTCTTGGCAGAGAGAAAGGAGGCCTCTAGAGGTCAGAGAGAGACACAAAGAGAGCAGACAGAGCAAGGGTCAGTGTGCAGGCCTGTGCTCCAGCGCCCAGGGCCTCTCAGGACGGGGGTGCAGGTACCCAGGGCCCTGGCACTCCCACCCTGGCCTGCCCTCCACCTAAACGTCAGCCCCTTCTCGGGGTGTCTGTGAGTGCTCAGTGCTCTGGCCGAGCATTCAGAGGGTCTCTGAAATCGGGGGAAGCAACACACGACGAGGATGCAGTTGGAACTCCACCATGACACCCTCGTCACCAGCCCCTCTCATCCCCCAAACACCACCCTTGAGAGTGAGGAGGACCCTCAAATCTGAGCACTGCTCTGCCACTGAGGCCTCTGCACCCTGCATGTCTGGGGCGGCCAGGGATCCCATCCCGAGATCCAAGGAGGGAAGCTCAGTTGGCCAGAATCCGGGGGACGGGGGTACAGGAGAGGGGGTGGTGGGAAGGCCTCCGCCCTCCCAGCCCCCTGAGGCTGTGCACACCACGAGAACTGGAATCAGGGCAGCCCTGTTGTGTCCGTGGAGTGAAAGCATGAGCGAAGAGGTGGGACAACACCCAGAAGAGGCCTAGCCTGCGTGGGCCAAGCTGAGGCGCCCACTCTGCGTCCACCCGTTCTGGACCTGGGCTCTCAAGGGTTTCAGTGAAGCCCAAGCTGGGGACAGGAGCCCAAGGAGAAAGCTCCTATGTGGGCCCAGCAGGTCTTGGGAAAAGACCCACAGCCACAGAAAGGTCTGATCACTCGCGGCCACGTCCAAGCTGTGCGTGGCTCTGCCCACTTCCCCGCCTCTGCCACCCCACCGCCCCAGCCACAGGGGCGAGGGGCACCGGGCCCAGCTCTGACCTCTGGTCTCGGACACGCTCGAAGTGGACAGAGACACGGCCGCAGGGTCCTGGGTCTCGCTCGCCAGCCTTTGCCCAGCACACATAGACTTGAGCATTTGGAAGACGGCAAGGGGCGCCACGTTTAACTTCAGCAGGTCCACTAGAATCCTGTAGAGAACAGACCCCGTTCGCAGAGAGCCCTCCTCGCCCCGCACACGCTCGGGCGAGAGAGCGCCAGGCATGGTCACCAGGCAGCGGCTAGACCACGGGGGCACCTCTCTCAAGAACCCAAATCTACACTGGGCCGAGGGCGTCCGAAGAGGGCTGGGGAGAAGGTTCTTCTAGACCAGAGACTGGGTTAGGGGACTGGAGAGCAGGGCACAGGGGTCGGTCGAGCGCGCTGCCCCCACCAGCACCCACTCACTTGAACACATCGGGGTCTATGGCGCCGCCAGCCGCCTGCGCCAGTTCGTACAGCTCCATCTCCTCGGCACTCAGCACCTTTTTCCGCCGCAGCGCGAGCTTCTGCAGGGCGGCCTCCAGCCCCGGGGGTGGCCCCGGCCCGGGCCCGGCGCCCGGCGCCGCCATGTGCGCGCGCCCGGCCACAGCGCCCCGCGCCGTTGCCGCCGGCTGCACCCCTCTACGGCGCCACCGCCTGGCCCGCGGCAGCCCTGCCACGGAGGGCGGGGACCGGCCCGCCACGCCTCCGCTATCCCGCCCGCAGGTATTTCCTGTCCGGCGGCCTGCGTGGCGCGCGTCTACCGTGGCGGACCGCGGAGGCCCGCCCCTTGGCCAGCAGGCCGTCCCGGCATTGGGTCGTTGTCGCTTAGGTAGCAGCACCCAACGCAGTGCCTGGCGTACAGCGGGCGCTCAATAAATGCCTGTGGAAGGAAGGGCAGTGATGCATAGTATGTAATTGTTTTGCGCCGCTTACCCATCAGGAGGCGCGCCGCGAGGGCCTTAACGAACGGCCTCTCGTTCCGCGCACGCGCGCTCCTTGCGGGGCCTATCGCTCGTGAACTCAGAGGGGGTGGGGGTGGGGTCGCAGCTGCCCCTAATGCGCACGCGCATTAGAGGTGGCTCCACCCCGGCTGGCCTTCGCTTTCCGCACGCACCTTTGAGATAAGACCTCCGCACCCTGCCACCGAGGTACCGGAGCGTTTCCCGCCAGGCTAGGGGGCGTGGTCCGAGCGCAGCTTGATGACGACATTTAGGCGCCCGATATCCGAATGGCGGCTTCCATCTCTCAGGCTGGCTATGCAATGGATCTCACAGGTGAGTGACGGGAGCCGCGCGCGGGACGCTCTCCAGTCCCCGCGGCCGCTCCGAACCTACGCTGAAGCCGTATCCGTTCCTACACTAGCCCCAGGCCTCGGCGCCTCTGTCGAGGCCCGGGCCGGGCAGGGCAGGCGGGAAGACCGAGGACCCGCCTGATGCTTCTTGCCTTCTTCCTGGGCTATGCCCTCATGCCACCTTTCCACGCGTCTCGCACACCTGCTCCCGGTGGGTGCTCGGCTAACGTCCGTTGAAGGAGTTAGAGGCAGGAGAGCCTCGAGTTAAAGTTGTGCCTTGGGCTCAGCAGAAATGGGGTTGGAAGAGCCGGGGTGCCGGTACCGGTCGGATCTTACCCTTCCTGCCCGTGTGGGCTGACTTTTCTGAGCCCCAGGTTCCTCATCTGTAATACAGGGATCTCGATGCTCATTTCACAGGACAGTTGTAAACAACAAACGGGAGCACGCTATGCTTTTCAGATCACAGCCAGAGGGAGCCCTGGTGGTAGCGTCATCTGCTTGGCATGACTCGTGTTGGCTGAGAGCTATTGCTCTCAGAGGAAACCCCAAAACGAGGTCCGAAGCAGCTCCTGCAGAAAGTGGATGTGAAGTGGTGAATGCTTGGTGCACAGTATGCGATGAAGGAGATGGCAGGGTCAGAGAACAGAGCGTATAAGAGAGACTGCCCCCCTCTCTTGAGAAGACGGCTGGTTTGGAGCCTCTGGGCCTCATTCTTTTCGCCACTGCATATGCAGGCCTTCTCTGGGGCAAGGAGGTGCTTTCACTTCATCATCTCTAAAGCTGTGCCATTGCAAACAGTCCACGATTTTATGCTGCTTTGATCATTTTAGAGTCATGCACAGTGTTCACTTGGCTACTTGGTTCAGGACTGAGGTGTTTTAAGTCTTCTTTAAAACTGAAATTGATAGCTATTTAGTTAAGAATCGAAAAAACTTGGGAGGTATTCCTATTGCCAGGTCGCAGGGATGTGTGTCTCTTCTCAACCCCTCAACTGCCTACATGGCATCCTTGCACCCAGTCTTTCCATCCACATACACTGCCAGTTGCCAACTCAACACCCTTACCCATTCTGTGGGCAGAGCTGTGCCAGGAAGGTGATCATTAGCCCATTACTAGCCCATCATTTAACCCATCATAAGCCCATCTGTTCAGTCCAAGTCGGGATATTTTGTTTCTGACATGGGTGGGCAGAGAGGTAAGAATCTGGAGGGCTGCTCCTGATACCTGGATGGCTTGTTCAGAGGCTCCCTTGGGAGAGGTTGCTCATTCCCTCCCTTCATTTACTGTCACAGAGCACAGGTAATACAGAGATTTACCTGTTTGTCTCTATGTGAGATCTGTGAGGGGGTCTATGTACAGGCAGACCTTTGGAGTATCACAGATTCAGTTCCAGACCACTGCAGTAAAGTGAATATGGCAATAAAGCGAATCTAATGAGTTTTTGGTTTCTGAGTACATATAAGTCATGTTACACTGTAATCTAAAGTGTACAATAGCATTATGTCTAAAAAATGTACATAATTTTAAAACTATTGCTGGGACATGCTAATCATCATTGGGCTTTTAGCAAGTAACAATCTTTTTTGCTAGTAGAGGGTCTTGCCTCCATGTTGATGGCTGCTGATAGTTCAGGGTGGTGGTTGCTGAGGTTGGGGTGGCTGGGGCAATTCCTTAAAATAAGACAATGAAATTTGCCCCCTGTTGATAGACTCTTCTTTTCAAGAATCATTTCTCTGTAGCATTTTACCACAGCAGAACTTCTTTCAAAACTGGAGTAAATCCTTTCAAACCCTGCCACCCCTTTATCAACTAAGTTTGTCATATTCTAAACCCTTTCTTGTCACTTCAAGTCTTCACAGCATCTTCACCAGGAGAAGATTCCATCTCAGGGAACTGCCTTCTTTGCTCATCTGTAAGAAGCAACTCCTCGTCCATTAAGGTTTTAAAATGAAATGCAGCAGTTCCAATATAGTAACAATGAAAAAGTTTGAAATATTGTGAGAATTACCAAAGTATGACACAGACACGAAGTGAGCAAACGATGTTGGAAAAATGACACCAATAGACTTGCTTGGCACAGGGTTGCCACAAACCTCCAATTTGTAAAAAACAAACAAACAAACATACTTGGGAAGTTCAGCAAAGCAAAGCATAATAGAATGAGGTACGCCTGTGTTAGGGTCTTGGTTATGCCATTCACCAGCCAGGGGAGGGCAAGTGATTTGCCTCCTCTCTGCCTCCATCTCCTCACTGGCACTGACCTCATAAGGTTGTTGTGATGGTATTCTATTCGTTCTTAACAAACTTAGCAGCTTAAAATCGCACCCATTTGTTATCTCACATTTACAGAGTCAGAAGTCCAGGCAGACTTGGCTGGGTTCTCTGCGCAGGATATCACAAGACTGAAATCAAGGTGTTACTCAGCTTTGCTGTTATCTAGAGTCTCCCTGGAAGACTCTCCTTCCAAGCTTATTTAGGTTTCTGGCAGAATCCAATTCCTTAGAGTTGTAGAACTGAGGTCTCCCATTTTTTTGCTGGCTGACAGCCAGTACTGCCCTATATCATATGGTCCACTGACTTGAGGCTTTATTCGTGTCTGCACAATCCCGTCCCAGCAGAACCTAGATGAGTGTGTGATTGAGTAACCAGAGACAGGGATACTGGAAGGCTATCTTCAGCATTCTGCCTACCACTGAAGATTAAATGAGGAAATGTATGGAAAACCTTTAGAACCAGGCCTGGCGCACGGCGCATGTTTACACAAGCATTACTGAGGATTCACCACCACACACTTGGCTTTGAGGCTGGCCACCGTGAATAAATGAAAATGGCATTTCTAGAAGACCTGAGACCTGGCGCCCAGCGCGTGTTGGGTCACACGGTGTTCTGTTGTATGGCAGGTGCTGAGGTTCTGTCTTTGTTTCTTCATAGTGGTTTCCTAAGGTGGCCGTTTTCAACTTTCTGCGGGAGGCTGCCATGGCGTTCCCTCACCTGCAGCAGCCCAGCTTTCTCCTGGTAAATACCCGCTGCCTGCGCGAGTGTCGGCGTGATGAAGGTTCTGTAGCTGAGGGGCCTTGGGAGTCCTTCCCACTGACTTGACAAACTCTCCGGTGGAGGTTTTTGGAGGGCATGTGCTGCAAATAACACTAGCCTCGGGGTTAGAGTCCGAGGCTTGACTCTGCCTGCTTTTCGTGCAAGGCCTCAGGTTTGCTCAACCTCTGGGCCCTGGCTTTCTCATCTACAAGATGGGTTGGTTCAAACACCATTTTCACTACTAACCAAGGTATGGGGAGGAGCAAGTGAAAAGGATGTACATCAGAAGTCCTGCAAATGTTACACAATGAGGCATTCTAATAATCATAACTGTCATTGGTGAACACTGGAGGGACACTGCTGTGCGGGTTTACCTAGGAGTGCCCTCTAAGTATTAAACATGACATTGAGAGGCCAGATACATGAGGCAGCGGCTGGTGCTGAGGATGCCTAATTTCAGTTCCCAGAAGATGCTTTTTGTAAACATTTGTTTGGAAGGACATTCTTCCTTGGTGCACCTGTTCAAGCCAACGGATCTGTGCCCCGGCTTGAACAGCCCAGGTGTGTACCTCTGACTGGGACTCTACTCTCATTTGTGGGTGGACAAGGCCTTAGATATCCTTGGGCAAAGCCTCCTTTGTTAAAATTCTGGCATTTCCTCCTGACCCTGATCCATTTGCACAGGAGCCTCTTCATCCACTTGGGATATACATGCACTTTCCCCTACCATGAGCTGGGTAGATTTCCTTTGTCCTTGTCCTGGGGGTTTTCTGGCCTCTCCATGGCCTTTGTGGCTGGTGTTGACCCTCGGCTGGAGCTGTCTGTAGTTTTCTGCCTGCCTCGTTCATGAGGCGGTGAATCCAGGTGGCGTGTCTGCTGCATGGCGAGCTTGGTTCCGAGGGCTTCTGCCATCGTGGCTGTCTGTTGGGCATTCTCACTGACGGCCACAGTGGGGTCATCACGGGTGGTCAATCACGTGGGAAATTTCCAGTCCATGAGTGCACACTTGGTGAGTACCCTGTGTCTGTGAGGGGTGCCCTGCACACGAAGGGTCCTCTTCTGGCTGCAGGGCTAACCCCCTGCTTATGGATAGGACAGAAATCAGTTTTGTTCTGAGACCGGGCAGTGCTGCACGGTAACTGGGGACGCCTGACAGGGTCCTGGGAAGAAGCCTGAGAATTGCTAGTGTAGTAGCAAGGGAGCCAAGCCAGTGGTGTGCGTCTGACCGACTCCGACCCGTCACTTCCATTTCTGTTTTGATACAAGCCTGAATATTAGGAAAACCTTCACAGTGAATATGCTAATTGTGTTTCTGGTTTATTCTGTCTCCTAGGCCACCCTGAAAGCTGACTCTATACATAAGCCCTTTGCACAGCAGTGCCAAGACCTGGTTAAAGTCATTGAGGACTTCCCCGCAAAGGTAGAGCTCTGCTAGCGTCTCTTCGGGGCAAGTCTCATACTCCTTGAAAAGCATTATTAGAGCCCCTGCTTCCCACCTCTGAGCACTGCCCTACGGAGGCCTGGCCCAGAACTGTGACTATCACATTTATGGACATATAAAAATAAGTGAAGTGTAGACCAAGGGTTCTTGACCCCAGGCACTTCTGTCCTGCACTGGACGTCTGGCAGTGTCAGGGGACTTACTTGATGGTCACATGGGGGAAGGTGCTACTGGCATCATGCGGGTAGAGGCCAGGCATGCTGGCAACTGTCCCACAATGCATAGGAACAGCCACCCCAATATAGGTGTGAAAAAACTGAGAATACATATTTAAGTCCTACCCAAAACTGTCAGATAGAAAGTGTAAGCAAGCCTGGGAAGCCAACGTGGAGAAAGAACAGAGTTAAAACCCAATGACAGGAAGTCATCGTCTCGGGCTCACTGCAAAGAAGGAACATTGCCACTTGTTTTGGGTAAAGCTCTCTTCAGACCGGAAGTTTTGACATGTTTGTGAAAGCCTCTTCAGCCCAGGCTGATTTCTTGAACTGCCCCCGATATAAAGCCTGGTGGAAGAATCCAAAGCTGCCCCTCCTGGGGGTCCTGCCCTGCCAGGCTTCCTGGGCATCCCTGAACCTGGGGGTGGCATCCTCAGAGCTCCAGGCCAGTGAGGGAGGTGGGCGGGACGTGGTGCCAGACCAGAGCTGGGTGGGAGGCCCCCGTGCACACGGCCCGGCAGCGGACACCACGCTCAGTGAGCCCGCCTGAGGCCCCACTGTGCGCCATTTCAGGAGCTGCATGCCATCTTCCCCTGGCTGGTAGAGAGCATTTTCGGCAGCCTGGATGGCGTCCTTGCTGGCTGGAATCTCCGCTGCTTACAGGGACGCATGAGCCCCGTGGAGTACAGCATTGCTGTGGAATTTCTAGACCCTGGGTAGGTGGGTTTGTCCCCCAGAGGGGCTGAATGCTTCCTCCTGGGGATCCCATTTTTAAATCACTGTGTTTCTCAAAGTTAAGAAACAAAGCAAGGTGGTTTGCAGTTCATTTGCTCTTTTTTTGTTCTTTAATTTCTTGTTCAGTGGCCCAATGATGAAGTTGGTTTATAAGCTTCAAGCTGAAGACTATAAGTTTGACTTTCCTGTCTCCTCCCTGCCTGTGAGTAAGCTGCGTTGGGGAGAACTGGGCCAGGGCAGAGGGCCCTGCCCAGTGGCTGCGGTGGGGTGGGTGGGCAGGTCCGGGGGGCTGTGACTGGGCAGGGGAATGCCCTGGTGTCTGGTAGGGCCCAGGAGGCATCACAAGTAGAACTTCAGTGGTGACTTATTTAAAAACTTTTATCAAATGTACATCACAGTGGTTCAACAGCCCCTTCCCCCTCCCCCTGCCGCACCCACTCCCCTCCCCTTGGTGACCACTCAGTGTCCATGAGTCTACTTCTGTTTTGTTCCTTCTGTTTTGCTTTGTTTTTATATTCCACAAATAAGTGAAATCATACTATATTTGTCTTTTTCCACCTGGCTTACTTCACTGAGCATAATACCCTCCAGCTCCATCCATGTTGCAAGTGGTAGGATTTGTTTTCTTATGGCTGAATAATATTCCACTGTGTCTATGTACCCCATCTTCTTTATCCATTCATCTACTGATGGACACTTAGGTTGCTTCCATATGTTGGCTGTTGCAAACAGTGCAGTGATAAGCATAAGGGTGCATACATCTTTTTGATTCACGGATTTTGTTTTCTTTGGGTAAATTCCTTGGAGTAGAATTACTGGGTCAAATGGTATTTCTATTTTTAGTTTTTTGAGGAACCTTCATACTGCTTTCCACAATGGTTGCATCAATTTGCAGTCCCACCAAGAGGGCTCCTATTTTTCTGCACTCCTGCCAGCATTTGTTCTTGTCTTTTGGATACTGGCCTTTCTAACTGGTGTGAGGTGATACATCATTGTAGTTTTAATTTGCATCAACGGTGACGTTTTTTAAAGCTTGTTCCCAGCTCTGCAGCGGGAAGGCATGTGCTGCCTGGTTCGTTCCTGCTGGGGGCAGGCAGGGCCTTGGGACCAGTGGCCAGTCCTGCAAGAGCAGAAGGGGTGACTTGCCTGGTGTATGAGAAGCAAAGAAGACAGGATTCATCAGACGCTTGGCTGGGCTCAGAAATGTGCCCGGCTGCTGCCCTTGCCATTTTCAGGTCTTCATGAGGATGATATGAGACCCTAAGCCAAGGCCCTTCTGCTCTAGTGCGACGCAGAGGACAGCGTGCTCGCACAGGCAGGGCCGTGGGCAGGTCTCCCCAGCGGCCTTCCCGAAGGGCCGCCCTGCCGGATCCTGCCCTCAGGCCCCCTCCCTGTCTCTGCAGGGCCCTGTGAAGGCGTCCATCCAGGAGTGCGTGCTCCCCGACAGCCCTCTGTACCACAACAAGGTCCAGTTCCCCCCAGCCGGAGGCCTCGGCCTGAACCTAGCCCTCAGTATCCTTTGTCAGCCTGTGGGTGGGGGCCACGGACTGGGAAGCGGGGGGCCGCCCACCAACCCTGCGTGTTTGCCCCCTGACGCTGCCATCAGATCCGTTTGAGTATTACATGTTCTTCTTCGCGTTGAGCCTCATCATTCAAAAGGTACAGAAGGGGCGCCCCTGAGCAGTTTGTCTCCCCAAAGCCCCGTGAAGAGGGGGCCAGAGCTCAGGGCTGTCTTGCGTCCCGGTGGTCCTTTGCCCCCCCTGCCTCCTTTCGCCTCCTCTCCTTCCCTGTCCTGCCTTTGCCCTTTGGGCCACCCTTGCTTCGGATGGCAGGCGTGGGAAGACCTGTCAGGCGATGTGGGGTGCCCTGGGCACCCTGAGAGGTGGTCACAGGGGCTTCCCACAGAGGGTGCCTGCTGGGTGTCAGGGCCGGGTGGGGGCTTCCCGGGGGGTTCGCATGCTGGGCAGGACGGAGGGGTCTAGGCAGGCTCTCTATGGTGGGGACTTCTTTCCTGGAGCCACCGAGGGTGTTGGGCACAGGCCCCTGGGACGTGGCCCCCGTCCAGGGCTTTGGTGCTTTGTGAGTTGAGCCCTGCGATTGCCAGAGCCACACACTAATGCGAGTTCGGTTTCCAGCCGCTCCCAGGGGCCCTCCACGTCCGAACTTCAGACTGTGCCTATTTCATCTTGGTGGACAGGTACCTGTCATGGTTCCTGCCCACAGAAGGCAGTGTGCTGCCCCCACTTGCCTCCAGCCCAGGGGTGCCCAGCCCCTCACCAGCTCCCCGGTAAGGCTCCCCACTGCCCTGGCTCCCTCTTGGCTAGTGCCCCAGGTGGCCCATCTCGCAGCGAGCCGTGAAGGCCTGGCTCTTCCGTGAGGGAGTGGCCTGGTCAGTGGGCGTTGCTCATGAGGACAGTGGTGCCTGGATTCTTTGTCCAGGGCCCTCCCACTTTGGCCGCCTGTGGTTGTGTCCCTAGTCCCCTTCAACCTGGACCCGCCCCTCAGTCTTTGCTTACCTTTGCTGACCTTGATAACTCTGAAGTGTGCAGCCTGGCTGTGTGCACAGTGTCCCTGCCTCTGTTCCCTGGTGTCTCCTCGGGGACAGGCACCGGCTGGGCATTGTTGGCTGGGGCACTGCTGCAGTGGCCTGCCATCCATGTGCAGGTGCCGTCAGCACACTGGGCAGAGGGGTGTTGGCCGGGTTTTCCTTCTGTGAACCTCAGTGAGTACTCTGCCTGAATGAATAACAAGGGCAGTTTAGTGCGGAGGTGCACCAGACCGGAGTCGCCGCCGGCCAGTGCTAGCCTAGCATCTCTTGATTCTCAGGTCAGTTTTTAGTAGGCTATTTGCCAAATGGTGATTTTTCTAATTTCATCACTCTTAACAGTTATTAGTAGGCTCTCTGTGGTAAGGAAACTCTTCCAACCCGTTCATTCATTTGTGTATATCAAGTATGGACTTGGGGGTCACTGTGATTCAGTAGCTTTAATCGTCACTCCTGTCGCTGATTTTGGTGTCCAGGTTGCCCCTGGTTATACCAGCAGGCTCCCCGAATGAAGGCCCGTCTCTGTCTCCCTCAGGACCCCAGCCATGCCCTTTGCCTCCTACGGCCTCCCCCACACAAGTCTCCTGAAGCGACACGTCTCCCATCAGACGTCTGTGAACGCAGACCCTGCCTCCCATGAGATCTGGAGGTCGGAGACTCTGCTCCAGGTGAGCTAAGGGACTCCCTCTCATCTTCCACTTGAGGTAACTGCTCAGCCCACTTCCCCCTCCTGGGATAGGGGCCTCGACACTGCCCCGGCCAGGGGTGGTTCTACACTGGTGTTTTTCTGCTGTGACCTTTAGAGAGAGACGGGAGAGACTAGCCTGCCTGTCCGGCCTGTCTGTCACCAGCAGTGCTTTTCATCCCAGGACTTCCAGGCCCGGGCAGTTCTGCTTTTCTCATGGTGATGCCCAGTTTCCAGTGGGTCCCTACCCCTGCCTCTCTGACCTACTCCCATGTTGTTGGCAAGGTTTCCTGTCACCACTGTTGGGCGGACACTAAACCCTGCCCAGGAGCGTTTTTCTGACGCCGAATGGAGAGGGCTTGTGAAGGCTTCACCTTGCTTGGCAGGCAGCCTCGGGCCCTTTCATGTCAGAGGGTCCCGAGGGGGTGGCAGGGCCCCTCGTCTGCCTTCGGGCAGGCCCCACGTCCCACACAGGCTTAGGCTGCTCTCTCCTGAGCTCACTGTGGAGATTCAGCTGGTTCTGACCCTGGATCTGGGGCTGAGCTGTTGGTAGCCCCCAGCTCACCTGTTGACAGCCGGGCATGTGGAGAAGATGTTCTTAGAGGCCCCTCCACGTGGTTGTTGAAGCAGCACGGAAGGCCAGACAGCTGTGGCCATCGTCCCTGGGCACAGAGGGTGCTCGTCCTTCAGATGGCTCACAGCTAATGTGGGCGCTCAGCCTGTGCCAGCCCGCGCAGAGGGCAGGGGACCAACACACAGGCTTCTGGGCAGAACTTCAGGGTTGTTTTCCGGGTCAAAACACTAATTAATGCCCTTTCTCCCCTTTTAATTCAAATCAGCTTTTTTTGGGTAATGGCAAAGTATGTATAACATTTTACCATCTTAACCGTTTCCAATTGCACAGTTCAGTAGTGTTGAGTATATTCATGTTGTCGTGTAACGGATCTCCAGAACTTTGTTATCTTGTGAAACCAAGACCCTGTCCCTATTAAGCAGTTCGCTGTTTCCCTCTTCGCACCACCTGGCACCTGCCATTCCGCTTCCTGTTTCTGTGAATGTGACGACTCCAGGTAGCTCTACAAGTGGGATCGTGCTGTATTTTTCTTCTTATGGCTGACTTGTTTCACTGAGCATAAATAATGTCCCCAAAGTTCATCCACATTGTGGATGAAAGTGCAGAATTTCATTTCTTTTTAAGACTGGCTCATATCCCATTGCGTAGATGGGCCACATCTTGCTTATCCATTCTTCCATCAGTGGACACTTGGGCTGCTTCCACGTTTTAACTATTGTGAGTAGTGTTGGTATGAACATGGGTGTACAAGTATCTCTGTCTCTGAGACCCTGATTTCTATTATTTTGGGTGTATATCCAGAGGTGGAATTGCCAGGTCGCATGGTAACTCTTGGTTTGTCAGGAACCACCATACTGTTTTCCATAGGGGCTACAGTATTTTACATTTTACCAGCAGTGTACAACCTCTCCAACATTTCGTTGTTTTCTGTTTTTTTTTCCATTGTAGCCATCTTAATGGATGTAGGGTGGTAGCTCCTTTTTGATAGGTAGTTTTGATTTGCATTTGCATAATGATTAGTGATGTGGAACATCTTTTCGTGTCCTCATCGGCCGTTTATGTATCTTTAGAGAAACACCTGTTCAAGGCCTTTGCCTGTTTTTGAATGGAGTTGTTTGGTTTTTATTGTGGAATTTTAGGAGTTCTCTTTACATTCTTGATCTCAGTCACTTATCAGATGTGCGATTCGCATGCATCTTCCCCGCTCGGTGGGCTGTCTTTTCACTCTTTGATAGTGTCCTTTGATGCACAAAAGTCTTTAATTTTTGTCAAGTCCAGTTTATCTACTTTTTCTTCTGTTGCTGTGTTTCTGGAGTCACATCCAAGGGGTTCCTGCCAGACTCCATGTCATGAAGTTTTCTCCACAGGCTTTCTTCTAAGAGTTTTACAGTTTTAGCTCTTACATTTAGGTCTTGGTCCATTTTGCGTTATTTTTGTTTATGGTGTCAGGTAAGGGCCGTTTCATTTACTTGCACGTTGATATTTTCCAGCACCGGTTGTTGCAAAAGACTGCCCTTTTCCTGATGAATGGTCTTCGTGCTCTGGTCAAAAACTGTTTGACTAGATAATGCTCTTTTGCAGGTTTTTGTTGAAATGTGGCTTCATCATTATTCCTTGGAGATGTACCAAAAAATGCAGTCCCCTCACGCCAAGGTATGTCGCCTCAGTTTTTCCTCCCTTCTCCTGCTCTGGCCCCAGCATGCCTGCTCAGCCTGCTCCCTCTTGTCCTTGACCTCAGTTTCCAAGGGCTGGATGGTGGGGAGCGAAACCCTGCCCTCCTGCCTCCGAAAGAGGTGCTGCCCAGGGGTAGGTGGTGCTCTGTGGTGGGCTCGTGCCGTCTCTGGGGTCCTCCTTCCAGAGCACTGCCCCCAGCAGCAGGGGAGCTGCTGCTGGGAGTCCCGCGTAGGTCTGTCCCCTCCACCATCACAGCACCCCCTGCTTTGCCACTGAGGTGGCATCTGGCAGACCCCACCCACCTTGGTGCCCACACTGGTCCCCGCCTCCTGCAGAGCGCTGGCAGGCAGCTCTGTGCTGGGTGGGGTCTGACACCCTCCTGTGTGCGCTGGCCTGTCTCCTCTTCCTGGCCTTTTCCCCAAGTCCCTATCTGGGCAGCTCTCATTTGCAAAGGTGCAGAGGCAGCTGAGGCCCTGGAGCCCTCCTGGGCCATTGCTGCCAGGTCCGCTTGAACTGTCGAGGTAAAACAGCTCTATTCAGTCAGTAAAAGGCAGGGTGGGCACTTAGATTCATGCTGTGTGACACAGCTCGAACCGGGCGCCTGGGCCCTGCGGAGGCCAGTGCTGGCCTATGACTGACTCTGTGGTTGCCTGGCAGAGTCCCGGAGGGCTCCCCTAAGAATTAAGACTTGGGTTACAGTCGAGAAGGGTGGCCTGTCAGTCTCCCTGTGTGACTTGGGAAAGCAGTGGTTCTGCTCCCGGCAGCTGGGTCTGCAGCCTTGCGCTCTGCCGCGTGGACACCAGGTGCTGCCCCCTCCGCTGCTGTCTTAAAGTGTGCAGTGCTCCAAAGCTCGGTCCCAGGCCTCTCATGCCACATAGCAGCTGCACTGCCTTCCCTGCTTCCAGAGCCAAGTTGTACATGCTTCAGGCCAGTGCATGGGGTTCTGGGATGCTTGCTCAGCCCAGTGCATGTGGCTTGGCCTTGGAGACGTCACCTCACTGCCCTGCCTTCCTTCTGAGCATCCTATCTTCTGAGCCGTAGGAAGCACGTCCTTGTTCATTTGTGGCATCGGATCTGCCCACCAAGAAGGCCCTCTGTGAGGATTCTGTGTCCACACGGGGAAGGGGCCGTGGGCTGTCTCTGCCAGGGAGGGTGGTTTCCCTTTTTCCTCATGTTCGCTTCCTCTTGGCCTGACCTCACCAGCCTGACCGGTGTGAGCTGCTCAGAGTGACTGCCTAGGGGGCGACTGGGAAGTCCCCACCAAGCACCTAGTGAGGTTCTGTGCTTCGCCTCCTCTTGAGGTGGACAACTGGGTGTATGGGAAGTGGGAAAGAGCTGCAGAGGCCCTTTATCAATCACTCCAGCTGGCACTGTGCCATGTGGAAATTCTCGCCAGTCCCAGCACAGCCCTAGGTGGCTGTTTCCTAATTTGAGGGATGCAGGAAGTGGGTTTGCGGCTGGGCTGGGAATGGAGCTCATGCCCATCTGTGAGTCCAGGCTTCCACTCTACCCCAGCTTCCGGCTTGCTGAGTGGGCTTCTGGAGGGGCCAGTGGGCCGAAAGGACAGTGCAGGCCACAGGCCGCGGTGGGGCCTGCCCTGTGTTCCCAGTGGGGGATTCCTCTCTGAGCTCCGCAGAGCCCAGGGCCGGCCCAGAGGAAGGCTGCGATGGGCTGATGCCTCGTTGCCGTGCTCCTTCCCACCCCTGCTCTGTGCATCTGGTGCGTGGTGTGCTCTGTCCTCTCCTTTGTGAAGCACGGTGCTCGGGCTGGGGGCACGGACCCGGAACGGCAGGATGTGTGCTGGGCAAGCTCTGGGCTGCACTTGCCTGAAAGGGGTGGTGGCTTCAGCAGGCCTTGACGCTTCCGGGAAGCAGGGCAGAGAGTCCTGCAGTGGCAGCCAGATAGCAAGCCGGCTTAGCTGCCATCCCAGTGGCTAGGCTGCCCCGGCCTCCAGTGGGTGTGGCTGTGGGCAGATGCTCGGGGATCGTGGGACTGCCGAGAGGCCCTGTGTGTCTGGAGAGTGGAGAGGCCCCGGGGAGGTAGGAGAGGCTGGTCTTCCCAGGTGCTTGAGAGAACCCCGGAGTGTCTGCGCCCCCCCGTAACGATTCCTGGAATCGGGGGTGCGGAGGGTGGCCGGCCCCGTGGGCGGAGCCTGGGCTGCTTTGGGGAAGGAGCTCCGGTGCAGAGAGCGCCAGCCACTCAGGAGGGCGCACTGACTGGATGTGAGACCCAGGAATCAATCACATCATGTATCGATTTGGTAAACTTCTCCTCTGGACAACCCAGGAAGTTCAATAAATGACTTATTTTTCTTTCTTGGGCAGAGAGGCCTCCGTCCGGAACTGGCCCCTCTCTGCTGAGTCTCGGGGCCTTCAGGGCCTTGGTGGCCGGTAGTGCGTCCCAGTGAGGACCTAGGTCCCTGGTGGGCTGCCGCAGGGCTGGGGAGAGGGGGACCCTCTGGAAGGAAAGTGAGTCAGGCCGACGTCGGGGAGCTGGAGAGGCCTGCAGGCCCCAGGGACGCGGAGGGGGCTGCCCAGGCGACCTTGGGAGGCCCAGCGTCCCTCCGACCGGCAGGTGGAGGAGCACCTCAGGGGGCCTGGCTCGGGCTGCCCACGGAGGGGCGGGGCCGGGGCGCTGAGGGCCGAGGAGTCGGGCACGTGCGGGGGCAGAGGGGCAGGAGCGGGGTCGCCGGGAGGCCGCGGGAGGGCGGAGGGGCGGGGCCTCCGGGCGGCGTCTCGCTGGCCTGCGGTTGCCGGGCTGAGACCGGATTGTCACTGATCGCTTTTATTTTTGTTTGTTTTCTGTTCCTCCTCCTTACTTCTGGGCTCCTTCTCCTTTTGCTTTGTCCCCCCCTCGCCCTGTCTCCTGCCCTGCGCCCCCCGCCCGCCCTGCCCTGCGCCCCCACCTCTCCCGCCTCTTCTCTCGGTTTCCGTTTTGTCGTCTCAGCTGGAGGTTCTGCACTACCGGCTCAGTGTCTCCAGCGCCCTCCACAGCCCTGCCCAACCCAGCCTCCAGGCCCTGCACGCCTACCAAGTACTGGCTGCCCTCGTTTTGTTCCGTCTCACCCCTGCCCCGTGGTGCCCCACGGAACACATGTCAGTGCCGTGGTAAAGCCAGGGTCCGGCCGGGAGCCAGCAGGGTGACCCAGACGCCGTGTTCAGCAGAGCAAGGCTGGCGTGGCGGCGGGTGGGAGTGGCAGGGGTCGGCCTTCAGCACAGCTCGGTCCCCGCTTTGCAGATTAGATGTGGTAGGGAGAGCGGCTCCGTGACCCTGTCTGGCTGAGTCCCCAGCAAGTTCTGGGGTGTTGGAGGGTTCCGTGCTTAGCCTTGGTTCAAGGAAGTGGAATAGTGTGGCTTTTGCAGAGGCCCTGCTCACCCCGCATAGTAGGCCTGCTACTCAAGAACTGAGGAGGAGGGGACCCGAGGGCTGTGGGTGGCGCAGTTCTGCCAACCTGGGGCCTGTGTGTGAGGAAGAGCACGGGGCTCGGCCCTCCAGCCTGGAGAGGCCATTAGGCCTTGAGCAGGTGGGGGCTTGGCCTCCTGTGAACCCATGGACTCCCCCAGAGGTACATGAGAGCAGGTGGTGACTGCTTAGACATTGTGGTCTGCTTAGGCAGAAATGACCAGTGTGTGTGGACCAATTTGAGGTCAACAGAGTGGACTTCAGACCTGTGGGGTGTTTCAGGGCTGATGGAGTCTGGCAGGTCACTGATTCATGAGATGAGGCCAGGAATGTCTGTCCAGTTCACCCTCAAGGGAGCACAGGTTGAACTTGAACTTGAGCACAAGAGAAGTCATGTTTTGCTGGGATGGGGTGGTGAGTGCAGCGAGGTTCCTGCTCAGAAGCAGCAGCTTCAGGAAGTGGGGAAGTGTCCAGAGGGCAGCGTGGGTTGGCCAAGTGCAAAAGTGGGTGCCACCCAGCCTCTGTTGGGGAGGGTCTCACTTGACTGAAAGCAAGTATCTGGAGAAGTATCTGGCTCTGTGCACCTCCACAGCAGAGGGCCAGGAGCCTGGGGTGGGGTGGGGCGTGGGCATAGCCCCTGAGGCACAATCCCCCTGGGCCTTGGGAAGGTGCCTCTAAGGGGCCTGTCGGTGGAGGCGGCCGCATGCAGCTGTAGTGGAGGCTCTTGGAGGGACGTGGCTCAGGAAGCTGGGGAGTTGTTTCGGAAGAACTTTGGCTTCACAAATGCAGCAGGAAAATGGCCCGAGGGTCCCAGTGGGATTGGAGGGGGGTGTTCATCGGGGGGCTCTCCAGAGAGACCCTGGAAGGATGGGCAGGGTAGGGTAGGGCCCTCCTCTGAGGGAGCCAGCACTAGGGGCCTGGGGTGCCAAGGGGGAAGGCTCTCAGGAGGGAGTTCCAACCTGGCATGGATGCCCTTCTAATCTTCTATTAGGATTAAAATAATTTAAAGCTTTTTTCTTCAAAGTGATGCAAATCCATCAAGGCTAAAAAATACAGAGTTAACTCGGATGTGTGGCCTGGGCCTGTGGAGGCATTTCTGTGCCAGGGAGAGCTGGGTGGCCGGGGCTGGAGCCTGGCATACAGGAGAGGTCTGCCATGTCCTGGGGTGCGCCGGGCGGCACGGCCTGCATTGGCCTCCACATGGCTCGGTTTGGGTTAGGCCCCCAGATTCCCTCCATCACATCTGGAGGGGCACCAGCGGGCTGGAGAGTGTGTGGGGCCTGGGGCATGTCAGTCTGGATGCCACAGACCGGCAGCTGGCAGGCAACGATCCCACTCGGGACTCCACCCTGCACCCACCGCTGGACAGCCAGCAAACAGGCTTTCCTCCCAGGTCTGGGTCTCAGAGATCCTACATGGACTTTCTGAATCTGAAGCATGGCCCCCACAATTGAAGGTGGTCTTTTTTGGGGGGTTGTGTGTTCATAGGTCCACTAGCAACAGGGGAAGGGCCAGCCTGGACTGAGCCCCCAGCCAGCCACGTCCATGAGGTGAAAGGGTGGGCCTGTGGCAGGAGGAGGGGCTGGGTCCCACCTGGAAGGAGAAGCCCTGGGCCTCGGCGAGCTGTCCCCACAAGCCCGGGTGGGACAGGGAGGACAGACAGGGGACCCTGAGTCCAGGTCTGGGTGGGCGCCTGGCCTGCTCCTGCCCCTGCTCTCCATCCCCTGGCTGGTCAGGAGGTGGGGGACCCAAGTCACCTGCAGAGGGTGCAGAAAGGGGCTTGAGAAGTGCACGGAGGCGCCTGGAGGGTCTGTCTGTTGGCAGGCCGTCCACGCACCAGTGCAGGCCTCCCTCTTAGTGGGGCTCAGACCCAGAGCGCGAGTACCGTCCGCTGGCGTCGGGCACAGGCAGGGCCACAAGGCTGGGTGGGGCGTGGTCGGGCCGGGCCGGGAGCCCCTCCCAGACTGACCGGCCGCCCTCCCCCTCAGGAGGCGTTCACACCCACGGAGGAGCACGTGCTGGTGGTGCGCCTGCTGCTGAAGCACCTGCACGCCTTTTCCAACAGCCTGAAGCCTGAGCAGGTCTCCCCCTCCGCCCACTCCCATGCTGCCAGTCCCCTGGAGGAATTTAAACGGTAGGTGTGGGGCTACAGGTGGCCCCTGCCTCCTGGCCTGTCACCCCCGTCCTCACACACGTGTGGCCCACCGTCCTTTCTCCAGGGATTACCGGGTGGGTGTGCTGTGCCCTCCCTCTCCCCACTGCCTGCCAGACAGGAGAAGGGCTGGGGCAGTGGTCTCACTTCTAGGTGCCTTTGCTGGCAGGGCAGGTGATTTTTGTGAACCAAGCAGAGGTGGGCACAGGAGCCACCCTGGATTGCCCACATGTGTGCTGTGTCCTTGGGATGTTCTCTAACCTCTCTGAACCTTGGTTTTCTCCTCTGAAAAACGGAGCTAGAAATAGGAGGCCTTACCCCAGGGGATGCCCAGCACTCACCCTGGCAGAGCAGCTTTGCAAACGGGAGGCACTGGACCCCCGTGAGATGACCCTCCCCCTGCAGGGCCGCTGTCCCAAGGTTTGTTCAGCAGAAGCTCTACCTCTTCCTGCAGCACTGCTTCGGCCACTGGCCCCTGGACGCGTCATTCAGAGCCGTGAGTGTCAGCCCCTTCTGCCCTCTGCGCCTTTGTCCCCTGTGTGTCCTGATGAGGGATGTCCCAAGGGGCGGATGAGGGGGAGGGAACCGGCTGTCATCACAGAGACTTGGCAGAGAGACCCTGGCGGGTCCCATTGTGCCGTGTATCTGAGCTCCCAAAGCCAGGCCTGGGGCAGGAGGTGCTCTGCCTGCCGTGACTGTGACCCCAGCCCCCGCACTGGACAGGTCCCCACCTCCCTGAGCGGCACGCAGCCCCCTCGGCTGAGGGTTTCACGCTTGGTGTCCCACGCCCCTGAAGGGCTGGAGTGAGGGTGAAGCATCCCAGGCCTGCACTGAGTCCCTCCCGTGTCCCCTGGGAAAGTGGGGATATGGGAAGAGGCCAGAACCCGGTGGGGACCCTCCCTGGCAGAGCCAAAGTGTCAGCTAGGGACGGGCCCCACTCACCTGAGCTGCCTCCTGGCAGCCAGGCTCCAGGCCACCCAAGGAGTTGTCCCAGAGCCCCAGCCAACAGCCCACCAGTGTGCCAGCGTCAGGCCCTCAGGGCACATGTGTCCCACCAGGTCCTGGAAATGTGGCTGAGCTACCTGCAGCCCTGGAGGTACGCACCTGAGAAGCAGGCTCAGAGCAGTGACTGCCAGGCCAGATGCGCTTCAGAGAGGTGGTGAGTCCCACACCCTGCTCCCCTGAGGGGCCTGGGGGCTGACTGCCCGCAGAGGCAGCTGGTGTCCCTCTTTCTCCCATCCCTTTGCTGATGGTCTCACCCGATGTACGTTTGCGCTCAGCCCCACCTGGGCCTGCCACCCTTCCTCCCCAGCTCTCGGCATAGCGACTGCCACCAGCTCCCCTCATTTCCTGGCAGCTGGCCCAGGCTCCCGCCGGCACCTCCTCTCCTTGACCCACCTCCCCGACGCACCCCTCTGGTGCCCAGGCCACCCTGCCTCGGAGGCCTCCGTCATCGCAGGGGGTCAGGGTCTCACCTCTGTCCTGCTTCCCCTGCCACTCCCGGCCTCTCAGCCGCCGGGAGGCCATGGCTGGGGGGTCCAGAACCCAAGGAAGAGCCGGGCTGCAGTGCAGCTGTGGACCCGGGTAGCCCTGCCTCCAGCGGGAGGTCTGCCCCTGACGCGCTGCCTGGTCCCCAGGGCGCCCTTCGTGCAGGAGAACCTGCTGATGTACACCAAGCTCTTCGTGGGCTTCCTGAGCCGCGCGCTCCGCACCGACCTCGTCAGCCCCAAAAATGCACTTATGGTGTTCCGAGTGGCCAAAGTCTTCGCCCAGCCCAACCTGGCTGAGATGATCCAGAAAGGTGAGCCCTGGGCCGGGGGACCGCAGACCCTCCGTGTGCCGCGTGGGCTGGTGGGCGGCCTGGCAAAGTGGTGTGGGGCTCCTGACGCACAGCAGCAGGTGAGGGTCTGAGCTTGGCCGCGCCCTGCCCTCCTTGCGGTGCTGCGCACCAGCCAGGGCTGAGGCTGCGCCCAGAGGAAGGGGAGGTGCAACTCTGAACCGCGTGTCCCGGTGGCTCTCGTAGAGACAGCGCGAGGCACTCTGGCTCCCTGACATGCTTCTGTCTTAGCAGCCTTGGTTGGCTTTAGCTTTTCTGGCTTCATTTACAAGTGTCAGCCTTCCTGTTGACACTCACAGGGCTCCAGGGTCGCTCGGAGTTGGGCCCCCGTGGCCTGCCAGCAGCCCCTAGGAAAGCCAGCGGTGCCTGGGCAGTGACTACCAGGCCAGACCCCCTGTCCCGCCTTCCAGGGGAGCAGCTCTTCCTGGAGCCGGAGCTTGTCATCCCGCACCGCCAGCACCGGCTCCTCGCGGCCCCCACGCTCACCGGCAGCTTCCTGTCCCCGTGGCCGCCGGCCGTCACCGACGCCTCCCTCAAGGTGAAGAGCCACGCCTACAGCCTGGAGGGCCAGGACTGCAAGTACACCCCGATGTTCGGGCCCGAGGTCCGGACGCTGGTGAGTGGGCCATGACTTTGCTGGCCACAGGGCTGTCCTGACCCTCTAGGGACTGGGCCCGGGGACCGCCCACCCATTCAGAGGAGAAAGGGGAAAGGCTGGGGCCGAGGTGATGCTGCTGTAACCCCTGCCTTGTTTTTTCAGTGAAGTCTTATTTTTTTCTGATGACAAAGGCAGTGTTTGTTGGGCATTTTTCTCACCTGGAATATGCGTGTCCTAGTCTCAGAATAGCCCCCGTGTGTGGAAGCTGTGCCCACCTGGCCCGTTGGCGGCTGGGCACCAGAGGCAGCTCCGCCTGAGCTGACTCGCCTGCCCGTCTCCCTGGCAGGTCTTGCGTCTGGCTCAGCTCATCACACAGGCGAAGCAGACCGCCAAGTCCATCTCTGACCAGTGCGGAGAGAGCTCAGCTGGCCGCCCCTTTCTGTCGTGGCTCGGCTTCCACTCCACAGACACAAACAGCTCCTACCCAGGCAATGACCTAGATGACATGGGGCAGGACAGCGTCCGCAAGACTGACGAGTACCTGGAGAAGGCCCTGGAGTACCTGTGCCACGTGTTCCGAGTACGGGCCGCCTGCCGCCCTCCCAGGGCTCAGTCTCGCGGCCCCGGCCCCCCTTCCCAGCCCGGGACCAGCCCCACACTGACACCTGGCGCGGTTCCCCCCGCACGCGACCTGGAGCCCGTCCTGTGGGAGATCTTTGGGTCCCCTCGCTGTCCCTGCCAGAGGCCCGGGGGCTGAGGAGCAGTTCCTCCCTTTTGCCTTGAACTTGAAAGCAGGTGGCAGGAGGCAGCTACTGCCGCCTCAGACATGTTTCTTCCGGACAGCTCAGCGAGGCCCAGCTTGCCCAGCTCACGCGTGCCTCGGGGACAGCCCGGGATGAGAGCGGAAAGAAGCAGCTCCCAGACTGCACTGTGGGGGAGGATGGCCTTATCCTCACGCCCCTGGGCCGCTACCAGGTGAGACCCACGTTCCAGGGCTCTGGCTTTCCAGGCAGCATGGCTACTGGTCCTGCCTCCTGGTCTCCGTCTCCCCATCACCCCCATGAGCAGATGGCTCCTTAGAGTTGTTTTCAAAGGGGTGTCTGTGGGCTGCCCTGCGGCCCAGGTCTCACTGGGGCTCATCTCTGCTGCTGCTTCTAGATCATCAATGGGCTGCGAAGGTTTGATATCGAGTACCAGGGGGACTCGGAGCTGCAACCCGTCCGCAGCTATGAGAGCGCCAGCCTGGTCCGTGTGCTCTTCCGGCTGTCCTCTGCCATCAACCGCAGGGTGAGCTGGCGGGAGGGCCGTGTCCACCCCCACGCGCCATTCCTCCCGCCCACCTCAGGGAGAGGCTGGCTGGAGAGCGCAGCCCCTGCCCGCACCCATTCCCCGTGCCTCTGTCTCTGCTCTAGTTTGCAGGCCAGATGGCAGCCCTGTGTTCCCGGGCCGACTTCCTTGGCAGTTTCTGTCGCTACCACCTCATGGAGCCTGGGCTGGCAGACAGGCACCTGCTGAGCCCTGTGGGGCGGGGGCGGGCGGCCAGCTGTGCCCGGGGCCCCAGGGTCAGCCTGCGCTTCCTGGGCAGCTACCGGGTGCTGCTGTCACTGCTGCTGGCCTTCTCTGTCGCCTCTCTCTTCTGTGTCGGACCCTTGCCCTGCGCCCTGGTCCTCGCGCTGGGCTACCTTCTCTATGCCGTGGCCATGACACTGCTGACTGAGCGGGCCAAGCTGCACCAGCTCTGACCGGGTCGGTGCTGTTCCCGGGCAGGCCGGCAGGCTGGCCACACGGCCACTCCCATGCACCGGGGAGGACACCTCTGAACCTGAGCCCAGCCACCTTAAAGCTGCTAGGGGTCATTTTCCTGCAGCCTTGGAACCATCTGGAAGAGAATCTGAAACCAGAAGGGTGTGTGGTCCGGGCTTCGTAAGGAAGGAATGGTGTCAGTGGGCCTATGAACCTGAGGGGGTGACCCGGATCTCGGCTGCCTAGTCCTCTTTCCTCCCCTCGGCCCGAGGCTCTGCCTTGAGATGGCCCTCGAGGCCGTTCGCTTTCACCGCCTTAGGATTCAGCCATGCGGAGCTCAGGCGGTGGTGTCTCCGCTGGGGGCCCTTGGCCTCTGCCCTCACCTCCCTTGAGGTCAGTGTGATGGTGGTGCCTCCCCGGGTGCCACCGGGATGTAGCTCAGCCTTTGGCCCCAGAGAAGAATCCATGACCCTAGAAGAGATTCCTGAGAAAACCGGATGATGGCCCTCTGATTCCTAATTTTAAAGCTAAATTTTGCCATCACATTTGGCAGTGACAGGCCTTCATGTTCTCCCAGCAATTCTGAGGCTGAGTTGCACAATTCCTCTTTTGAGAAGAAAAAAGGTCCTTTAGGAGCACAGGTGCTTGGGAGACAGTCTGCCACCTCGGCTCCTTTCTGTCCCAGGCCATCGAGCACACTGCTCAGTGGTGGCCCAGCATCACCCCGTATCCAGAACAGAACCGCGTCTCCCTGGGCACTGGGGACCCGGCAGAGCCACTGGAGTCGGATCCCACCGGCTTCTACGCTGTAGCCAAAGATGGTCAAAGCATTGTTTCATCTTCAATAAAGTCAAGTGCTCAGAGGCACTTAAGTAAACACAGTAACCTTTTGATAATACCTAAACATTCAGACTACATGACAGTTGCACATTTACCATCAGTGACCATCCCCAGGGGACTTGAGTGCCCTCCGCCAGATTTTCAAACCAGGCCTTTGTCTTTTTTTTCCCTTAAGTTTGCAAACTAAATGTTGGGCTTTTTGTATTTTGATGTGAACTTGGAATAATGGCATTTTGGGGCCTACAACCAAAAATGAAACCAAATTTGTCGTGACCATGGACCTGAATAAACCTGTTTTTATTCCTGAGTCTGCTGGTACCTGGGCTCAGCCTCCAGGGCAGTCACGTGTGAGTCCCCCAGCTGCCCGGGGCCCGCAGAGACTGGTAGGCATCCTGTTGCCCTCACCCAGGGGGATGGTGGACCCATTACATCAGCAACAGATGAGGCAGATGCAATCACTGAAGTGGCCGTGGTCGGAGAGGGCAGGCCTGCAGGAGCCGAAGAACCAGGCCCGGGGTGGGCCTTAGCCAGCACAGGCCTCAAGCTGGGTATAAGTTGTGGGGATTTTGCCCAGTAGATCAAGGTTGGCCTCAATAAGAAAATCTGATAGTTCTGGAATGTGCATTTTCTGTGGCTTTTCTGTGCATTTTCTGTGGCTTCTGGGATGCTCAGAGGATTGAGTATGGATCTGGGAACTGAACTGTGCACTCAGCAGCCCTGTATGTGTCTTGCCTGCAGCAGTCTGGCTGGGCTGAGTGTGAAATGTCCCCCTTTCCCGGGCATCAAATTTTGTCAAATTTGATATAAATAAGGTATCATTTCCGTATGTTCAACATGAACAGGTCTGGCTTTTGTTGCCAGGCCCATTCAAGAGGAGGGATGTGAGGCGATGGCCTAGGGTCAGCTTTTAATGGCACCATTCCCCAGTGCACCTCATTGCTTCCCGATAGTCCACCTCCGCCTGCAAGGTTGGGATGTCCTCCTTGACCCTCCAGCCCCCCACGGCCTCACTTCTCTGCATACACCACCCTTGTCCACATTTCTCTCCTGTTCTTTTTCTCCACCTGAAATCATTCTTCAATATCCTAATAAGCAAAAATGCTCCTCTCCATTTACCTCATATGTCCATGAACTCAAAACACCACCTACTGTGTGCCCCCTACTGTGCTGGGGCCTTGAGGGAGCAGGGAGGGCCACCCACTGCCCTGAGACCTTGGGGTGCAGTGTCCAGAATTCATAAAGAACACTTAAGGATGGTAAGGTCAAGGAGGAGACAGGGTTCCACTGGTCGGGGCCCTGGGAGGCGACAGCCAGGGCAAAGGCAGCACGCCGTGGCCCGTGCCAGGTGCAGGGGCACAGTGGGTGTACATCATAGGTCATTGGTAAGTAAGCTGAAAGCAATATTAGGAGGGCTTGGGAATAATACCCTTAAAATATTTGCACTGCCAAAAACTTCATCCAGCCTGCTGTTCCAGAGCTTCCTGGATCTCTAATCTGTTGTCTTCCATTAATTTTGTGAAGTTATCAGTCATTATTGCTTTAAATATTTCATAGTTGTTTTAAATTCCTGGTCTGATAATTCTAATGTCCGCCATATTTGAGTCTGGCTCCGATGTTTGCTCTGTAGTTTCAGACTGTTTTTGTCTTTTAGTATGCCTGGTAATTTTTTTATTCAGAGTTGGATGTGATGTATTGGCTGGAAGGGACTCAGGTAAATAGGCTTCAGTGTGAGGTTCCATGTTTATCTGGCTGGGGCTTAGTCCCTGCCGATGGTGCTATAGCCATAGGTGCCCTCATTACCGTGGGCTCTGTTGTCTTTGGGTTTTCCTAGAGACTTCTTTTTAAATGAAGCGTAAGATGGGCAGTTTTTGCTTGTACTCCGTTTTCATCAAGGAGCCCTGCTGGTAACCGTGGAAAGAGGTGGACAGAGGAGGGGGCTCGCGGGGTATCTCCCCTTGTCCAGGACAGTCGGGCTCTGTTCAGATCCCAGTCAGTTTGGGCATGCTGAGCCATCTTCGTTTCTTTTGAGGGCAGGCCTTGTCAAGAACAGAATGTTCTGGGCAGCTTTCAGAATGGCTACATTCCCCTCTTGCCTGGACCACAAGGTTTTTTTCCCATTCTTCCTTGAGAATCTGGTAGGGCTCCTAGATGTCACACTCACAGCAGTGTGAGGGCCTCGTAAGATTAGACTCTGGGTTTTAACACTCCAACTTAAGCACATGGAGCCACACCAATAATCTGTCTGTTAGTTTTCCCACCCTGGAACTGGTGCCCGCTGCAGTGAATTGTGATTCCCTTCATCTGGCGTGCGTCTCTCCAATTTGGGGGCAGCAGTTTTTTCTGTGATCTTGCTTCTCTGAGAGGTTTAAGGAGAGTCCTTGGTTTCCAGTTTGCTCATGGACGTGAATGACGACTTCAAGCTCCTTACAGGTCGACCAGGAAGCCAAAAGTCCAGATGTGTTTTTAGTTCTAGGATTCCTTTTTTTTTTTTAAATACCTTATCATTTAAACAATTCTCCATTATTTCATTCATTGTAGCCATCCTTTTCTGTAGATTTTTAACATTCATTGTAAAGTTGATTACCTAGAATTATTTCTTGATCTGGTTCTGTTGACTGAATCTGAATTTTTTTTCGTTTCTTTGCATGTCTAGTATTACTGCGTATCAGACAATATGGAAACTCTAGGTTCTGTTACTCTGAAGAATGCTGAGTTTTGTCTTCTAGGCAGCTGAATTACTGGAAGATCACCGAACTTGTGGAGGCTGGGCTTTAAGGTTTATTATGGCAGGTGTATTCAGATTTTTCCCTAGTCTTAGTGCAAATCTGTTATTTCTAGAAACACTGTCTTTATTCCCAGGGTGTTTATGTGGTATTCCTTTGGGGTTTACATGGGAAACTGAGGCATTTACCAAGTGCCAGTCAGACTCCAAACCAGGTCCCCTGGAGTTGAGTTGGCAGCAAATGAATCTCCTCTCTTCTGGCCTTCCGGCCCTCTGTCTTTCCCTGGGATCCTTGGGGTCCTACACATACGTGCAGTGCCAGCCAGTCGTGCATGTGAAGGCAGTTTGTAGCTTCCAGCTCCTCACCCAGTCAGGCTCCAAATCCCCAGCCCACCAGCAGCAGCAGCGTCCACGGCGGTCTGTCCCGAGCCCTGTCCTCTGCCTTCTCCGGCCAGCAAGCCTGTGGGCTTCTTGTTGGAGGTCTGGCTGAAGGGCGGCCTCAAGGGGGAAAGCCGCTCTTCTCTCAAAAGCTGCCTTCCAGTCCCGCCTGCTTTTTGTTCTCAAGTGCTTTCAGACAGCTCTTTCATATATTTTGCCCACATTTCATAAAGCATGACGGTTCTGCAATTATTGAAAGTGGAAACTTTGGTTGTTGAACCTGTAATTGTATCATCTGTTCTGAAAGTGAACTATTAAGATACAACCATCAAACAAAATTAAACATCAAGACCAATCTCAAAGGTAGCTCGTTCTCCGACAGTCCCTGAGGTCACCCAGAGAGCGGCCCGGCCCCGCCCCCGGCGCCCAGGCCCCGCCCCGGCCCTCGAGCGCGCCCGTTTCCGTGGTGACGGGGCTCCGGGCCACCGACTGGGCTTGCAGCGGCGGAGGCGGCGACATGAGCGGGGCGGGGGGGACGGCCGAGCTTCGGCCGCCCGGCTCGGGGGCCCTGGGCTCCCGGGGCGCGTCGCGCCCGCGGCCACCCGCAGCCCCGCAGCAGTCGGGGCAGCGTGGCGCGCAGCACGGGCTCGGGGAGGCGCAGAAGCGAATCCTGGACCTGGAGAAGAGCCTGCAGTTCCTGCAGCGGCAGCACTCGGAGATGCTGGTCCAGCTGCACGAGGAGATCGAGCACCTGAAGCGGGATAACAAGGGTGAGGCAGAGCCGCGGCCGCCCCCCCGGCGCCAGCACCGCCCCGCGCACCGACTCGGGAGCACCGGGCTTCCGGGGGGACACAGGACCGTGGCCCCTCCCCGGGCTCTGCCACGAGGGACGCGAGCTCCCTGCCCCACACCAAATCCCAGGGGGCCGTGAGCGGAGCCCCGCGGGCATCAGGCGGCGGCGGGTCTGTGCGTCACCTCCCAGCGCAGCCTGGCTGGCAGGCTCCCCCTCTAGACGGGGTCAGACACCGTCCAATGAAGAAAACTTTTTTTTTTTTTTGGTATTGTTAATGTACAATTACATGGGCAACATTATGGTTACTAGGCTCCCCCCATCACCAAGTCCCCGCGACATACCCCATTCCAGTCACTGTCCATCAGCGTAGTAAGATGCTGTAGAATCACTACCTGTCTTCTCTGTGCTGTACATCCCTCCCCGTGCCCCCCCCACATTATACATGCTAATCGTAAGGCCCCCTTTCTTTTACCTCCCCTTCTCCCTCCCTTCCCACCCATCCTCCCCAGNNNGTGTATATGTACCACATCTTCTTTATCCATTCATCTACTGATGGACACTTAGGTTGCTTCCATATCTTGGCTATTGTAAATAGTGCTGCGATAGACATAGGGGTGCATATGTCTTTTTTAAGACTGGGAAACTGCATTCTTAGGGTAAATTCCTAGGAGTGGAATTCCTGGCTAAAATGGTATTTCTATTTTGAGCTTTTTGAGGAACCTCCATACTTCTTTCCACAATGGCTGAACTAATTTACATTCCCACCAGCAGTGTAGGAGGGTTCCCCTTTCTCCACAACCTCGCCAGCATTTGTTGTCATTTGTCTTTTGGATGGTGGCCATCCTTACTGGTGTGAGGTGATATCTCATTGTGGTTTTTATTTGCATTTCTCTGATTATTAGTGATGTGGGGCATCTTTTCATGTGCCTGTTGGCCATCTGTATTTCTTCTTTGGAGAAGTGTTCAGATCCTCTGCCCATTTTTAATTGGCTTATTTGCTTGTTTGTTGAGGCTCTTTAATTTGGATGTCAACCCCTTATCGGATCTCTCATTTATGAATATATTCTCCCATACTGTAAGATGTCTTTTCGTTCTATTGATGGTGTCCTTTGCTGTACAGAAGCTTTTCAGCTTGATAGAGTCCCACTTGTTCATTTTTGCTTTTGTTTCCCTTGCCTGGGGAGATATGTTCATGAAGAAGTTGCTCATGTTTATGTCCAAGAGATTTTTGCCTAAGTTTTTTTCTAAGAGTTTTATGGTTTCATGACTTACATTCAGGTCTTTGATCCATTTTGAGTTTACTTTTCTGTATGGGGTGAGACAATGATCCAGTTTCATTCTCTTACATGTATCTGTCCAGTTTTGCCAACACCAGCTGTTGGAGAGGCTGTCATTTCACCACTGTATGTCCATG